AAACCTGTCTGAAAATGAGCTGATCAGATTTTGGCCACTTTATGATGTCATAACGATGTTTTGGCTTGTGTAACCATTAGCCAATCAGCAACCAAGGTAACCCCCCCCACCTTATCACCTGAATCTCCTCCTAGAGCACCATTGTGTTCTTTTTAACCAAATCTCTCTCAGAGGGGCGTGGGGAGGGGCTCCTTATTTTCATCTGAAGTAACAGACAGAGAATCAGCACTTTGGAAACAGGACTGAAACAGAGGGGATTATGGGATGCTGCAATGATCTGTTTGGTGTTTGGAGCCAAACACTTCAGAGACATGTTCTGTATATATCTGAGACCTATAATATATTGATGAAAAACAGTATAATAGGGGACCTTTAAAGGTACTACCTCATGAAAGGCCCTCCACTGGACTTTTATTGTACAAAGAAGACGGTCACCTCAAAGTTGTACTTGTATGCACGTAGTCCCATAGTTCTGATATTTTTTCTTACAAATAGCTATTTTAATAATCTGACACAATCATATTTTTCTCTTAGATTTAAAACGTAGATCTCAGAGTTTTTTTCTAGATAAATAACCCCCCCCCCCCGTTAATTGGAATATCATTTTCTTAACGTACAATGGGCCCTTAAGTCTGAAATTCACTTATACTGTCTTTTCTGATGCTTTCAATTTATTCCGATTTAACTATAAGGTTGATTCTATAACAGTGACACTGCTAAGTAGAAGTTCACTTCCATATAAATGTTTCATACAAAATGACACTTGAGTTATTTAATTGTCTCTGGTCAAATTAACCATAAAAGTCCCAAAGAGGCTACCTGGGTGTTTATCTAAAATGTAACCCCCCCCCTCTCTCTCTCTCCTCCTCCTGTGTGTTTCAGGACAAAGTGCAGCTGCAGTACACCCTGACCTTCACCATGGGGGGGCAGCAGCAGCACAGTGAGGCCGGCGCTGTAGAACAGTTTCCTCCTGCAGAGACATGGGGGAGCCTATAGCACTCAGACTCAAACACCACCTGACAGACTTTCAGACTCCGCCTCCTTCCAACTCTTCATACGCTCCTTTCCTAAAAACACTCTTTGATTCTTTTCCTCACGCTCAGTCAGTGCAGCGTGTGTTTGCTTTGCTCTGTGTCTAGTCTGCTGTGCTTTAAAACAAAAAGCTGCAACATGCTTTCTCCCCCAAAGTCCTGCAGTCTTGTCTCATTTCTTTCTTTGAAGACGGTGCTACGAAGGATGAAGAAAACATCAAACTTGTGCACTTGTGTTTTCCACTAAGTCAGTTTAAATCACCTCTGCATGTAAAATCCAGCACACCGAGAGAGAGGACGATACAGAGATGCAGCTCATCTTAGTTTGCGACGTGTACTTTGTGTAGTGTGTGTTTTGTGAGGATTATTACTTTGACTGAGTCTACTCTTTGATTTGCACAGAATGATTTTTGATTGTACCGTTTCCTGTCTTTTCTTTAACGATCATTTACTGTCTGCCATACGTGCCTATTTTCCCCTTCTAACATATTTTAACTTGTATTGCGTTTTAGTTTCTCTTCAGATCCATATAACCTTAAATTCTTAATATATTCAAAACATTTTTTTAGTAGTTGCATTTAATCGTTTCTTTAGCTTGTAATTTAAGCATTTATTATTTCAGCATTTATCTGGTGAAGATCATTGAAGGTGAGATGAACCCAGATGTTTCTACAGACTGTGATGCATGAACACTTCCTCCTCCTCCTCCTCATCACATTCCTCCGCTCTACTCATAATACGACCGCTCTGTAAATACCAAAGATGGCGGTCCTGTTCTGTACATTTGACTCGTGCAAAGAGCATAACACTGGTAAAATATTCAAAATGGGTAATAAAGTTTTTTTTCTTGGTGACCTGAAGGCTTGTTCTTTCGTGTTTGTTGGTCACGTGAAAACTTCCTGATAAAATACCGTAAGCGACATTTAGCGGGTTTTAGCGTCAAGGATTTAAAGACCACGCACAGTGAAACAAGAAGACGTTCAGTAAACTGTAAAAAAAGGGATTTACTGTTTGCTAGGAACATTTCAAAACATCGCTGCTGTTGAGACTTGCCCTCTCACTAAATAAGTAATGTATGGTGCAGCAAACACACTTAGAAATCTGAATAGAGTGTGTATTCAGTGTGTTGTGTGTGTGTATAGAGAGTGTATTCAGTGTGTTGTGTGTGTGTGTGTGTATAGAGCAGGGGTGGGCAAACTTTTTGGCTCGGGGGCCACTATGAGTTTTAAACGGGCCGGGCCAGCAGATCATTGAAAAAATATTTAGCTGTCCACTCATTAAACACTCGGCACTCATTGTCGACTTTTCTTTTCTTTGGTCCACTCATTGTTACAGATGCAGGTTCAAAGGTGAATTAGGTTCAAAGGTGAGTCATTGCGTCATCGTTTGCGTCATGACGTCATTTATATGTTATTGTTATATGTCCATGTTTGTGTCTTTAGCCTGTACGAAAAAGAAAAAAAATTATGAAATGAGGAATCTGAAATGTGAAGCTAAAGGGGTTTAATCCTCCAGATGGAAACCCCTCAGTATATTAAAGGTTTTCAAGTTTTTCATTGCCATATCTACACTGTAGCTAATGTGCACATGACAATAAATCCTCGAAACTTGAAACAGGAAATACACATTTCCACTGATACATGTAACACTCTTTATTCAACTCAGTTGATGCTGAACACTATCACAGTTCTTCCTCAGCGTGCTTCATGTTTTTGGTGTCACTAAAACTACAATGTAACCGAGTAAAAGGCAATCAGAGTCTGAAACATGATTTAAATGATTATATGAAAATTTGACACGACAATGCTGAACACTAACACAGTTTTTCCTCAGAGTGCTTCATGTTTTTGTGACACTAGTAGTAGAAAGGGATGTCGTTCATCCACTATTGTATCTGTTCTATTTGTTCTATGTCCTATATATATATATATTCATGTTGCACTGTTGGAGGAGCCTGTGTGTTGAGACATCCATTTGTGGATAGCCTGGAGGCAGGCAGTTCAAAATGGAAACTGATGTTGTGTTTACGGATGATGTGGTCAAGAGGGAGCATGTAAACAGAAAAGAGAAGTGGACCCAGTACTGATCCTTGGGGTACCACCTCTTTACCATCTTAGTGCATCGTTTACCAATTTACAGCCATTCATAGAGAGGCTGCCATACAAGGAGCCCACTGCTCAGAGAAACTAACATCCACACATCGGCCATCGGAAGCAGCTCGGAGTTAAGTATCTTGCCCAATTTGCATCAGGATCAAACCCCCAACCTGTCCATTGGTAGAAAACCTCTCTACATCACAGTCCCAGTCCCCCAAACTGGTATCTGGACCACCTCAACTCTAACCAAAACACTGCTTCGTGACAGTTGTTTACAATTAAATGCAAAGAAATGAAGTGTATTTTAGTCAATTTTCCGCGATAAGTATCTCAACTTTGACCTAACCCTCTGGCCGACAGATGTTCTTTCTCTTATCTGTTTCTTTATAAGAGAAGATTCACCAATTCGGGGGTCCTTCTGGGTCTATCTCCAGCTTTCAGTGAGCAGGCCTCACACACTCAGTGGCGACTGGTCATTAGGGGCCTTTAAAGTGGACCTATCATGCTATATTTGAAACATATATTGTAGGGCCAAACCTATATAAAACATGTCTGTGAAGTTTTTTTTTCAAAATACCAAACAGATCATGCATTTTAGCCATGCTTCATTTGCTCTTTTCCAGCCCTGTTTTTGCAAGGGCTGATTCTGCTTTTGTAGCAGACTACAGCGCCACTTACAGGCCTGGCATATGTACTACAGCGTCTCCAGCGCTTTCGAGCGGTCTCTCATTCCCCTGATAGGTGGAGAGTTGCCCATATAGGCGGAGCACCCCTTTTCTGACGTCAGAAAAATTCAAATAATAATCAGCTCCGTTGCAGCCCCGTTTTTAGAGATTTGGGTATGGAGGAAAAGAGAGAGTGTTGTGTTTTCTGACACTTGGTGAGTTCCCTGACAGACCGGGGACACATATTCATGTATAAAAGACGTACAAAAGTGCATTTTGCATGATAGGTCCCCTTTAATTCAGTTTTTTTTTCTCTAAAACTCTTAGTTTTGCTTGATTCTGAGAAAGCGTTGCTTTATATTTATGAAACAAAACTAATCCCATACAGCAGGTTGCCTATCACCGGCAGCGCGCTCGGTGCCGGAGGTAGACTCACGTGTTTATGGTTCCTCCGGCTCAGCAGCCACAGTAAAGCAATGATAAGAGCCGCTCAAATCAATGAGGCGGACAACTCCATAATGCTCCACGAAAGGTGTTTCTCCACTGCAGTAACCTCCACTGAAGGTCTAAATCCCGTGATGACCGTAAACTACACACATCTGTCTCTGCTTCAAGCTTTCTCTGGAAGAAAACAAAGGTTACCTGCATAACTCCGGTTCTAAGGGTATGTGCAGAGCCCTGTGACGTCACCTCAACCCCACTTGTGACATTTAGCTGCTGGTTTGCTCAGCATCAAGTAGCATTTCACTGTTGTAGACAAACAAAGTTCTGTTTGACTTTCTGTAAAATATTTAAATAATTGGACTCTTATGTGGCTTAAAGAGTTAGTCCGCTAGTTTATTTTGTAGAGATGCATTTAGTTAAAAGCAGCTAAAGATGACTAATAAATGTAGTGGAGTAGAAGTTTAAAGAACAATTAAATGGAAACGCTCAAGTAAAGTTTCCACCTCTGGAAAGACGTTTTACAGGTCAAAGGAAAAGGACTCTGGGTTTCAAATGTACCTTATCTCTTTCAAGGTTCAGTGATCTGACTTTGATTGAAATGCTAATGGTAGGCAGAGATTTTTATAATCTTTTAAAAAGAGGTGATATATTTGATGTGTTGGGTGTTTTTTTAAACTCTTTTATAAGTCCTTGTTTGATAGATTTTCTTCCAATGAAATTTTACTTGGAATAAATTCAGTAAATAAATACACAAACACAACAAAGACTTTCCAACAGGTATACAGAAGTAATCTATTGCCATGTGTATGCATACAAATCCATATTTCAGAAATACTTTTTTTTGTTTTTGTTTAAGACGGCATGTTGATAGTTAATAGAGTAACTAAGAAATTGTTAAAAGACAACCGAAGCAGAAGACAAGAGGATGCATAATCATTCCGGCTGTTCCCTTATGTTGTATCTTTAGAGTATGTGTCCGCCAGGTAACAGCAAACATCATCTTTACAGCAAACAGTGCAAAATCACAAAAAAGCAATATATGTTATCGAGTTGTCCTTGACTCAGAATGCTTCAATCAATGATAGGCTCAGTCTAGATCAGGGGTGTCAAACTCAAGGCCGGGGGGCCAAAACCGGCCCGTGACTTCATTTTATGTGGCCCACAAGAGCTTGCAAAGAATATAATGTGTTTATTATACGGTTACATGCCGATGTCCCACAATGCATCTCAAATGTTACTTTTTTCTCAGACTTTGACTTTTTTTTCTTCAAAATATGCCTTTTTTCTTAGAATTTGCCTTTTTCTCCGAATCTGATTTTTTTTTTCTCAAAATGTGATTTTTTTTTCAAAATGTCACTTATTTTTTTACATTTTGGCTTTTTTTCCAGAATTTGGCTTTTCTTTTTAAATCATTTTGTGACATTCTCACTGAAGAGACTTGCAATTATTTGCCCTATAGACTTCAGCTTTCAGACGTAGTTAATTATGAAGTTATTACCCTATCCAATAATCATCCAATGCAGAGGCAATAATGTCATATAATACATTATTTTATATATATTAAATATTTATATATGTATTTTTATATAGTCTTATATATAAAACTGGCCCTTTGAGTGCAACCATGATGCTAATGTGGCCCGAGATGAAATTGAGTTTGACACCCCTGGTCTAAATGGACTTCCTGTTCTCAACGCGGCGTGGCGATGATCTCGGAGGAGCGAGGCAGATTGGCGAAGCTGCTGAACTCTGGATTGAGGTTGATAGTGTCGGGGCCTCCAGTGCAGGAAAAAGTGAAATTCTGCAGCAGTGACACTATGAAGATAAAAAGCTCCATACGAGCCAGAGACTCGCCAACACAGCCTCTCTTCCCTGTGAAGAGATAAAACCACAAACTTCAAAATAAAAATACAATTGCGTTTACGATTGTTACCGGGCAATGAGTCAGGTTTTAGCAAAAAAATGACTCATTGTGGACACAACACACTCACACAGAAAACTACTATTATTCATATTCCTCAGCATGCTAAGGGTTGATGTATCAACTGGCGGAATGCCGCATTTTACCTGCAGAAAAAGGCATGAAAGAAGGATTTTTCTTAAAGTTGTCATTCTGGTCCAGGAAGTGCTTAGGGTTGAAGGTCCAGGGAGTCTCCCAATGCTTTTCGTCTTTCAGCACAGAGTGAAGCAAAGGAATAATCACAGTGTCCTATTAAGACATGTGAGAGATATGTTAGTGTCATAAGGATCTGTCTCTGTCATTGGATATGATATCTTGGGATGGACAATACCTTGGGGATTGTGTAACCCCTGAAAGAGATGTCATGGAGTGCGTAGTGAGGAATGCTGAATGGGACAATGTCCAGAAAGCGCTGCACCTCATGGATGACTGCATCAGTAAAGGGGAGGGACTTCCTGTTCTCCATGCTAGGACAACTTTGTCCAATCACAGTGTCAATCTCATGCTGCATTTTCTCTGTACGGGAGCAAGCAAAACATTAAAGGTAAATACAGGATTATAGATGTTTGTGGTAAAAAAGGGCTGTGTTTCCTGTTGGGGGACTTACCCTGTATGTCTGGGTATTTTATGAACAAACTGAGGGCATATCTAATGGTTGAGCTGGTTGTTTCCGTTCCTGCCAGGAAGAGATTCAGCACAGTCGAGACCAAGTTATCATGGTGGAACTCCGTTGAAGGAATGTCCTTTTCCTGAGATGTTATATTGGTATAAATGCTACAAAATGCACAGCAAACAGCACATATATTCTTTTCTGATGACATCTGCCATAGTACATCAGGAAAACCTTTCTCAGCATCCAAATTAATGTGAAGGGATGTTTAATTTTAAGAAATTCCAGGATCAAAGTTATTGCGCAGTGTGGTCTCGGGTTTCTTAAAGGTCCCATGTCATGGCCATTTCTACTGATCATAATTCCATTGTTGAGGTCTACTAGAATGGATTTACATTGTTCAATGTTCCAAAATCACATTGGTTTCTCATACAGCATCTCTGTATAGTATGTGTATTCACTCTCTGTCCTACACGCCTTGTTGGAGCTCCTGCCCCCCCCTCCCTATGATTCCACTCTGTTCTGATTAGTCAACCGGTCTGGGTGCCGTGTTGGCGGGACGTTGCGGGGCTCGCTGCTCCGCCCCTTGAGGCTCGAGGAGGGCACAGTGTGAGCTGTATTACTGGTGTCGTTTCCTGGTTGCTGCGTGGGGTCTGCGAGACAGCGAGACACCGCGGAACTCAGCCTGAGCACACACACACACTCACAGCCTGGCTGTGTGCGGAGATCCGCGGAGCCGCGGCTGAGAAAAGATAAGGCTGAGTGAGTGTGTGTGTGTGTTTGTGTGTGTGTGTGTGTGTGTGTGTGTGTGTGTGTGTGTGTGTGTGTGTGTGTGTGTGTGTGTGTGTGTGTGTGTGTGTGTGTGTGTGTGTGTGTGTGTGAGGAGCTCCGCAGATTGGTCCATTTGGACCTGGGTATCGTTACGTTTTTTCTTAATGTCTTTCATTTTTGTAAAGCACTTTGAATTGCCTTGTGTTGAAAGGTGCTATATAAATAAACTTACCTTGCCTTGCCTACGTCACTATACTCAGGAAGAAAAAATGGAAAAAGAGAAATCTCCAACGAGGCGTTCTGGGGCAGCATAGACAGGTCTTTTCTGTGTTAGAGTTTTACTCGCTACAGGGTGTACTTTGAGGGTTTGTGACTTTGCAGACCGCTTATAGGCATACAAACCTTCATAACACACAAGGGGACGGGTAATAACCGGAAAAGCATGACATGGGACCTTTAAACAAAGCAAATTGTCCAGTCCTACCTGATTGCTTCGGATGAGAAAGCTGTCAATAAAGTCCCTCGGTGAGCTTGGGTCCATTGTCTCTTTGTGCTCTTGGATCTGCATGGACACAAACCCTTTTATCTCCTCAATCTGGGCAAAAACAGTGTTATGGCTGCCGGGAAGATGCTCCACGATGCGGGGAAAGACGTTGTACATCTGTATCAGGGAGGCAGACAGTACACTCAAGCTTTGTTTCACAGGGGTTCATAATGTATTCAGTGTGTTGCGGCTATCATTGCAAAATGCTGTATATTATTGTTAAGCTGCATTCACATGAAACGCAATGTGAATTTCGTAAATAATTTCAACTTTGAGCGCAGCGCTTGGAGACAATTTCGAGCGATTGCGCTAAAGCGTCAGCAGAGGCACATACAGTATAATGTGAATGCATCTTTACAATATTCTCTCTGAATATTTCCACCATTACCTGTCCCAACTTCTATTTAACTTAACAAATCATAGACATGATATTAAGTAGGATTCGGGCCTCCCCTTCATACCTGACCCCAGGGACTACTAGCAAATTTCAAGGTTTTTGTTGTTATCTGCAGAAGAGACAGGAACTTCTCATCTTCATATTTGAAGCGTTGGCCAAACACCAGGCAGCAGATCACGTTGGACACGCTGAGACTCAACAAGAATGAGGGGTCAAATGGCTTGGCTGGAAGGGAAGAGGGAAACACAGTTGGACTCATCTTACAAACGTTCTGATCAGAAGAAAAAAGGTGGTGTTGGCGGGTCACAACATCCATTGAGAATTAATCTTACCTGCCATACAACTGTTTTTCAAATGCTAAAAACGCCAACTTTGCTGGGGTTTGAACATGTTTAAGCTCACTTTGGATGTGTTAGAACCAGCGTTTTTGTTTAATTGAAATACTAAATAAAAAAGGTGCTATCTGTTAATGTCACATCACTGTAAGAAGTCCAACTGCCATTCAACCTTGCGTGGTTTTTAGTTGAGGATATCAATATCCACCAAACTCTTGCTAGCTTAATTGACTCATTACCTGTTAATGATCAACATATCATTTGAAGATATTCACAGTTTGTTGCTTGCCAATTGTTCAGATTTAAAGGTGGGGTAGGTAAGTTTGAGAAACCGGCTTGAGATACACTTTTTGTTATATTCCATGGAATGCTCTTAACATCCCGATAGCAATGAATATCTTAAGTGCTTTGACAAAAAATCCATTAAAAAATGTCATCTGTGGAAGCCGTAGTACTGTAAAAAGCACGACCAATCATTTTAGCCGGGCCGGCTAAAATAACTGGATGGCCTACCTGCCTGTCAGCCTTCCATCTGTGCACAAACTTATCTCGTGCCCTCATTGGTCATGTGCGCGTTCGTGTGTGTTGGAGGAGGGGCTCTGTAAGGAAGTGGCAGATTTTTTCAGGCTGTGTATTTTCAAATTCTAGCACACTCGGGTTGCGGTCGAGTAGTCCATTTAGCTTAGGAACCTTCCTAACGGAGTGAAATGACCCGGAAGTCCCTCAGTGGCAGCCATGATAAGTGCCGTTCGAATTCTCTAAATGAAAGGAAAGGAGGTTTCAAACTTCCTTTATAACCTCCTTTAGCTTAGGAACCCCCTAACCTAAAGGAGAGGAGAAAATGCTGCCCCACAATGCCTTGCGGCCGCGCCCGCGGCATTTGCCGTCACACAACAGTCGGCCGTTCACGGAAACAACCGATTATGAACGAGAAATGATATCATGAAAGTTACGGTGCTTATTAAGCATTTTAAAACGTATGTGGTAAGTTGCCAAAGTGCTTTGTTTTGAACGTTCATCAGTATTATAATCAAAAAGAGAAATATGAACGTTAGTTTTTACTGAAATGATCAAATAAAGTCAACATTTCACAGTCTTTACTGAGCTGTGTGGGGTTTGTTCAACTTTTAAAATATGTTTGAATGGTGATATACACAGTGATAGATGTTAAGGACTAACGTTTATAATAAATACATTTGTATTGATTTTAAGATCTTTTCATACAATCATACGTATTGGGATCATTTGTATTAATGTGGACCGGAGGGAGAGGGTGACGAGCATAAGTTTCACTTTCCTTTTTTATTTCAATTCCAACTTTGGTCATGAAGAATATGTTTCTCTGTTGTCCCCGTTCATAAAGCATAAAACAACAGCATCAGAGCACGGTGCAGAGTCTCTATATGAGTTTACAGTAGTCCCTCGTTCTTATTAAACATCCATGTTGTAGTCCACACGTCGGATAGTGAAAGTGCAGTCTCCTCCTAAATCCTTTTGAATTCTCCTATCCACTATCCCTTAACCCCGTGACGTTTCACTCAGAGGTTAAGGAATAGACGATAGGGTTAGAATTTAGGAGCTGATTTTTGGACTATTCGACCGCAACCTCGAGCTGGTTTCTCCAAAATTACCTACCCCACCTTTAAATAAAGCTTAAAATGCTTCATTTGCTTTCTTAGTAAATCAAGGCTTTAAATGAAGGTTCAATGTTTTAGCCGATTGTGTAACAGTCTGTGTTTACTTTGAACCAACTGCCATCAACAAGAGATAATGCTTAAAGAGTGCAGCTCAAGCAAGAGGGATGCATATATCCGAAAAACTGAACAATGCTTCCACAGTCTCCCACAACAGCTGAAAACACACCTTTGAACGTTTTTACGCGATCCCTCAAATGTTGGCTCTCTTCTTGGATCCACTGTTCCATGCCTTTGCGTCCCATCCCAAAGTCTCTTAAGGTTGTCAGTGTGAAACGTCGAAGTTGGCGCCAGCGTTCCCCGTTACTGATCGCCAAACCTGACAAAAGGAAATGGTTGTTTTGTGACGATCTGAGGTATTATAGGTACATGTAAATACAGAGACATGCAGACATAAAACCATTAGGAAATCACTTGTCCCTTAAATTATTTGAAGTGCTTTTGTTACCGTAGCCATTGGTCACTTTCATCAGAAACGGCAGTGGACCTCTGCCAGTGAAGTCATCTGCATGGTCCACCAGAGCCTCTTTCACTGCATCGTATCCTACCAGAACAACCGCCCGCTGCCAGCCCAGGTACACTGTTATCACAGGACCGTAGGTTTCACTGAACTAGAAAAACACATTAGGGCAATTAAAAGCTGCAAATGAACTATTGCTTTTTTAGTGCAAATGTTTCCTTGTGATCAAACAAATCTGTTTGACTGAGGTTATGCAGAGACGTCGTCTCTCATTATTCTTGTCCTATTACATTTTGTCTTACCTTGAGAAAGCTTTTAAAAGGTGCATTTTTGTCAAGCTGTGGCAGGTTTCCTACTAGAGGAAGCGCATAGGGTCCTGGAGGCAGACGATACTTTCTGCTGTTTTTGACACTAAACAGCCACAACAGAGCTACGATCAGCCCTGCCAAGATCACTGTTGTTGAAAAGTCCATAATGCTCTTAACACTTCGTCCTCTTGAATCTCTGCTGCTCAACAGATCTCTAAATGCTTGAATCCTTTCATTTGAGCTTATATTTAAATGGGTGTGTATCTTTTACAGCATGTTGGCAGGAGCGCTGCATTAGGACACAGGTCAGCCATGTGACACTCCTTGCTAAGTTCCTGCCATAACTCCACAAACAAACTAAACAAGTTTTACAAATGCCCAGGGCCGTCCCGACCTGGTCAGTGTATGTTTTGGTCATTGGATTTTCAACCAAAATTGAAATACAAGGCGTTTTTCTTTATCATGGTCAACAGGGGATTTACTAAACTTAAAACACGGGATGATTTTCATTTTCTACTTCTCAAAACAAAAAATAAAATCACTAGAAAACAGAACAGTTTTTTTCATATTCTGCTACAGGAAGTTGTCTTTCAAAATAAGAGCGCAGATGAGGACGGTCAATCCGTGTATCTACGGTCCATTTGTTTTCACAACGAAAACAGCCAAGACACATATTGAGCCCAGAAAATGAATGTTATTAAGGGCTGTAAATATAATAGGCCTATGTCTAAAATGGACAACATTGTTAGGAGATTTAAACTATACAGCGATTCTGCACTGCGCTCAGCTCAGCCGTCTCTCGAGTTTGTTATAATTTTTTCTGCCATTAGTTCTTCGTGAGATCGATCCTGTTGGACTCACTAGGCTAGTAGTGAAACTTCTAGATATATAGATATAGCATATTTGATGCAGTCTTTCTGAACACTTTTAAAATAAAATACTGCAAATTAAGAATATTTGTAATGTTCTGCACAGATAGTGCCTTAACTTGAATTTGAAAACACGTGGCAGCTTTATTAATACAGTAGATGAAAAGATTTGTGGAAGGATACATTCTTCATGGGCTTCAATGGCTCAGATAAAGGGCGTTTTATGGTTGCTTGTATTATCCTCAGATAGGGGTTTGTTTAAATAACTAGTGACATTTTAATAAATATTGCAAAAAAGGGCTCCAAAAAAGGCATATATCCTGGCCGGCTTAGCCAGTGTGTATTTTTTCAAGCACCACAAGATTCATAGTTTATAAAGTACAATTCTGGGCCATTGATTGTGTCATTCTCCAAACTCATACAGTAAAAATGGCTGTTTTTGAAGCCTTAAAATGGTGCAGGAAAAGGACTTTACATTGTATTATACTTAAAGACAGGACTATTCAGTTAAGAGAAGAGAAAAAAGGAAAGCAAATTGTTATAATGGGTGATGTAACATCAATGACAGACATAAATTGAGGTCCTTGGCACTCAGACTCTAGAGGGGTCCATTTTGTGATCATGGGGCATCACCCTTACAGCATCAGGACAATATCATATGGAGTCAGACACTGGAAGTGTGCTGGAGGCGTTGACTGGGACTGATGGAAGGATGAGGCTGATGAGACTGAAGAATCTGCGAGGAACGAATTAGCGGCTGAGAAATAGTTATATATTAAAAGACAGCAGCATTATAAGAGGGCAACCAGAGTGACAGAGTGTGTTACTTTGCTGAAGGATATTTGGGACCAGCTATCCAGGCCAGTCTCTAAAGAAGTTCCAAGGTGTAAAAATGCTGCTGCCGGAGTACTGACTGGAAGTATTGCTGATATCATGTCTACCATCCTCTGTCCAGCAATATCAGTCTCAGGAAGAAATGTTTTTTAACGCTTATTAAAAGAAAAACATGCATTCAGTAAGTACTTCATATAGCTACTTGTGGGGGTAGTAGTTTCTGTGGTACTGAGACCAACAGGATCAATCTAACGAAGAACTAATGGCAACAAAAAATAATTCCCTCATCAAACTTAGCAGAAGTGGCTTGATTTTGTTCTCAGCAGGGGACTTTGACAGAGGATTTCTCAAAAAGTACACAGTAAAATTACTTCAATGTATTGTTAGTATAGGCTAACTAATATAAAGTCAAACAGTATCAATTTCATTCAGTGTTATAGCAGAATGTTTAATACAGCGTATTTCTGATATTCATTAAAGATCACATGGTATTCCATATGATGTGTGTTACTGAGTTGGGTCACACACAGTTAGAGAGACAATGGTCATTCTGAATTATCAATAGATGTATTCATTTTAAGTGAGCTGACACCGAGGTTAGAGGAAGTTCAGAGAAGGCCTTAGGTTATAAAAAACAGTTCACCTTTTTGTTTGTTAACTACTCCTAAAGATGTCATGAGACGATGACGTTTAAACATATACAAGTATAGCTTTCAGAGAGAAAAACATGTGACATTTGTGTGATAGGCTGCATGGTCAAATGTGTGTGCGTTAAACATGCTTAGGGAAAATATGTGTGTGTTCATTGCAGTGGCTATATATGCTGTATGATTGTTGCTACTGTGGGGGGCATTTCCGCGATTGGCTGCTGTGGCAGCAGGTGATGTACTCCCCATTATTGTTTGTTTGTTTGTTGCAACAACTAAATAATAAATACTGATCAGCTATGTCTGTGTTTGTGTTTTATTGATTCCTCTCTGTTTCATTCTTTCCTGTTGTGTTATGCTGGACCGCCACAACAAACTAATGGTAAAATTGTATTTTTATCATTCATCAAAGATAGCAGAAAAACATGCATTATGTAGGCTACTATGGAGGGGACTCTGACAGAGAATTACTCACAAAGTACACAGTAAAAGTACTTCATTTCATTTCTGGTAGTGTAGCACCCATAAGGTTGAGGTTGTCTACCTGCACATGCATGTTTATACCACAAGGGGGCAGATCACCTGATGGTTCATCATTGTTTTATGCTGGAGATGAACAGAAGAAGTGTGTCTGTGTGTTGTGCTTTGAGATTGTTTGAGATGCTGACATCTTGCACATGTGCCTTGTGGAAGTTAATAAATGAACGTTTTCTACACCTATAATACCCTTGCGGTCTGAGTGGTGTAACAGTAGCAGTCAAATTAGTACCGAGTCCAACAGTGTCAGTTTTATTAAGAACTTGTGGACACAAATATTTGTATCACTCATTGAATATAGCAGGGAAAAAAATGAAGAGCAGCTGATTTGAAAAAACAAACTCGAGAGACGGCTGAGGTGACCATGGTGCCAGAAAGCCACAAGTGGGGTATGTTACCACTTGTGGCACAAACATACTCTAGAGTTTTTTACCACAAGTTCTTAATAAAACTGACACTGTTGGACTCGGTACTAGTTTGACTGCTACCAGAAATGAAATGAAGTACTTTTACTGTGTACTTCGTGAGTAATCCTCTGTCAGAGTCCCCTCCATAGTAGCCTACATAATGCATGTTTATCTGCTATTTTTGATGAGTGATAAAAAGACAATTTTACCATTAGTTCTTAATGAAATTGATACGGTTTGACTTTGTATTAGTTAGCCTACTACTAACAATACATTGAAGTAATTTTACTCTTTACTTTTTGAGAAATCCTCTGTCAAAGTCCCCTGCTGAGAACATAATCTGAGAACCTTTCTCCGCATCTGATTCATGTCATAAATCAGATTTTAGAAAAGCGTTTTAGCCAATCATGAAATATGCGGGACATCGTCTCAATTTGCGGGACGCACCAAAAGTCGTGAAAATGCTGTGCAATACCGCACAAAGCGGGACATCTGGGGCCTCATTTATAAAGGGATATACGCTCAAAAAATGGCGTACGCCAGTTTCTACGCAATGTTTGCGATTTATAAAATACTAACTTGACGGGAAAATGTGCTGTCCTCCACGCAAACTCTAACCCATGCGTACGCACTAAGCACACACACGGGAGAGACGAGAAACTGCGACACCGTTGGCAGAAGGAAGAATGGAGAGAAATATGTGGAAATAATACCATAAATAAAATGTTACCTCTCATTTATCAAATATGAAGAATTCATTTTCAAACATTGATTAAAGCCAATCTTTAAATGATTAAACAAACGCCTGTTTGAGACTCCTCAGTGCACACAAAAACATAACTTGGAGAAATAAATAAATACGGATATGCTATTTAAAACCACCTCGAATATGTTGTGTTAATGTTATGAAATGTTTTCTCATAAATGATGCGGTAAGCAGGAGGACAGAATTACGTCTAAACTGACGCCGTTTTGCGTTTCTATAGGTTGTAGATACGAGCATGGTTTTATATACTATCACGTTTAATCGTGTTTTATGCCGTTTGCCAAGACTTGATAAGTCGCTCGTAAAACACAGGAGGTATGGAAACTAAGAACACCATATGTGGTCAATTGTACAGCTAATATAACACAACACATTAGTTCTATTTCCTTTAACTGGTGGATTATGGATATATAGTTGCTGATCGACAGCTGGAACACAAACAGATCCAGTCGTCATGACTCCACTCCGGAGGGATTCCCCGATCATTTCTTACAGTTTCTCATCAAGGGGGTGTCTCCTGTCCCCGGGACAAACACACTGCCTGAGGAATGTTATGTGTATATTTTTTGTCATTAACTTTTTTCGGACCACTTATTTATTTATTTTGGTGACGATCCGACCTCCATGCTGCTACTCTGGTTCAAACTGCATCCACCAAACAATATGATTTATCTCGACCTCCCCACAATAACCTAAATCTGACACGGTGTGAGATGTCTTTTTTAGCTGTTCTATCGTCATTTCCTGCGATCTTCTTCATGCAGTCAGTCAAAATGAATGAATGAATGGGCGTTTCTTTGACTATGTATAGGCAAATATGGGCGTTACGAGTCGATTGTGATTTATAAAGGGAAACAGGCGTAGGGAGTGCCGTACGCACTTCCCTCGCCGGTACGCAATGTTTTGTGAATCGGAAAATGGCGGAAAATGTATGTACCTATTTTTGTGCTTTGTACTACGTAAGCAACCTTCCTACGTCAATCCTACGCAAGGCGTTATAAATGAGGCCCCAGGTCACCCAGACGGCTGAGTTGACCGCAGTGCAGAAGCGCTGTATAGTTGAAATCTCCTAACAATGTTGTCCATTTTAGAAATAGGCCTATTATATTTACAGCCCTTAATAACATTCATTTTCTGGGCTCAAAGTGTGTCTTGGCCGTTTTCATTGTGATCGCTAAATTCCCCTTGTTTATAATAATCACAGTTCCTTCAACAGGATACTGTAGTGATTCAAAGTGTGATTTTAGCATAGCCTACGAGTGCTTTTGTTTTGAAATCACTTCCGTGAGTTTCGTCTGCGCTCTTATTTTGTAAGGTAACTTCCGGTAGCAGAATATGAAAAAACGGTAGTTTTTTTGTTTCTGTTTTCTAGTGATTTTATTTTTTGTTTTGAGAAGTAGAAAATGAAAATCATCCCGTTTTTTAAGTTTAGTAAATCCCTTTTTGACCATGATAAAGAAAAACGCCTTGTATTTCAATTTTGGTTTTTCAATTTGAAAACGAAAATCAAATATCCAGTAGTTTTTTGTTTTTGAATATCCATTTGTGAAAAGAAAATCCAATGACCAAAACATACACTGACCCTCCCTACAGGCCGATCATGCAGGCTGCATGGGGCGTCACATTGCGCAGGGGGCCTCGCGCAGGGGGCCTCGGCTTATGAGCTCGGCTTGTGCGCAGTTCTCAGCGCAGTTCTCTGCTTTTTTTTGTTTTTATTTCATAAAAGGAGAATCATTGTAGTATGTCACAAAATACAACACATTGTAACAAAAACCGAGACACAATTATGATTTTACTTTATTTTCAACACCAACAGAAACCATTTAAGCATCAAAACAAGAGATCATATCACCAATATACATATTAAAAAAAGGGTACAACAGAAATAAAACAGGAGAATATATGAAAATTAAAATATCTAACTAAAGCACTACACCAAGCAATGCCATTACACCCATAATCATGAACGTTTCGCAGTGCTTAGTCTACCTATTTACAACAATCCTTCCTTTCTGGTATAATATATCCTGCTTTAATATATTTAGCGTTGTGATTAAACATCCAGCTTTTAAATCACGTAGTATCAAAAGTATCATTTGATAGTGTTTTGAATAAAGTTTGATATGCTGTTAACTTGGGGCAGAGTAAAAGGCAGTGAATGTCACTTTTCTTTCAATACTACTAAGTTAGTGGTTCATTCAAAAAACAAATTACCTCCACCTTGCCTTCAACTGAAGCTGTTTGATTTGAAAGTCGGATAAAAAAGTGAGTGTATAATTGAAAGAAGGTATATGGATCATCAGTCACAGCAGGAATCCAACACCTTCTTCTCCTGCTTAATTAGTGTCATTTTATCTTTAGGAAGTAAATATTCACATCTATTTGGCTGTTCATGTTTAACCCGGACTACATTCATTACTCACAAGGACTTCACGGTTTGTTTACCTGCAGTCAATAGACACTAGTCTGGACTCTGCACTCGACATATCAAGAGGAAAACGATGATCGCACATTGAGAGGCCTAACGTCACCTGTCGAGAGGTTTTTACTTAGCTGTGCTCTGCCATCAAACATTTACGATTACGACCACAAGCAGCTTCTATACAGGCCCCTGCTAAAACTCATATTAAACAATTCACTCTAAAACAGGAAACAGAGGATAAAAGCAGAATAATCTGACTCACTTGAGGATTTCTTCGACCATGCATCACTGCTATAGTGTCCCTGAACACAAATGCCACTATATTCATCTACCGGATGTAAATCCAATCTAGCTCACTATAGCAGTAATGCTGTTATAAACAATACCAGCAGAGGCAGGTCTGATCTGTGCGTAATGCCCCTAATTATGGGATTACAATCCTCAGCACATCACAGCTGTGTTGCTCCGTAATCTGCGTGGGCGTCGTACTTCCGTCTCCCGGCCCACGCGAAAAAAAATCTCTCCTACAGCTGTTCCCTCGACACAAATCAGGCCAACAGCTGCCGAGTCACACAGTTATACTTCCGAGTCGCCTCACACGAACCCACGACAGAGTGAAAACAAACACGGCATATTTAAACACATCTCTGGAATGACAATTTTCCAACAAACGAGCGATACCTTCAAGGTCATACAACATTTAAATAAAAAAAAAAGTGTTATTTAATATGTATATATTAAAAGAAGCCTGGGAATTCGAAGGCTCTTTAGTTTTGCTTGACTATAAACTCTAAATCTTAAGACAGTGTGTCCCGCAGGGTACTCCTTCTATTTGGCAATGTTTCGGTAAGAGTTGGCAGAGAAGTGAGGAATAAGGGAGACAAACTAGAAAGATGAAAGAGGCCGTTTGTTTTAAGATGAAGATGGCACTTTTCTCTCTGTTATACACCTCTTATATATTTATTTAAAGTGCAGCATTAGGGAGCTTAATGCAGGCACGGTTATTTGAACCCATGTGGGGAATTACATTCTTAGGTGTTGGAGGAGCCTGTGACCTAAGAATTTAGAGGTGACAATTTCATTGTCATAACTACACTGTAGCTATGTGCATATGACAACAAAAGCCTTGAACCTTGTGATATAGTTCTGTCAGGGATGGCCTCTATGACAGCATCTGTAATGAACCTAATGTCTAAACATCTGGACCCCTCTATTCATAACAACGTCTCCATCCTCTTTACCTACTGCTCTTGTAAAAATACTTCCCACAGTCTGTTAACGATAGCCTGCCGTGAATCTGATCTTTGTAGTGTTGTCTTAAAAAGTGAATCTGATCTTTGTAGTGTTGTCTTAAAAAGTGAATCTGACCTTCCCTGTTAAGGACAAGATCTGATTTGTCTCTCTAGTTCAGCGGTTCCCAACCTTTTTGGTCTCGTGTCCCCCTTGAGCTGGTCGCCATGCTATAAGTACCCCCTCACTCATCTGTGATGATTTGCCAACATTTCTTCCTGTATTAAACCCTTTGTAATGATGTCCAACCCAACTGCTCCTCAGATGAAAATCACTTGCATAACTCACCCTTAATACAAATGCATTTAAACTTGACATTGATACTTACTGTCAGTGAAAATAATAGTATTAAGACTCACTTCTAGCAGTTTCCACATCTTTCTAGGACTAGGGCTTGTAATGACACACTCTGGGGGCAGGACACCAGGCTTATGAAAATTGATTTAATAAAATGTTTTTTGTGGAAATATATTGCAATCCCTAATATTTCTACGTACCCCCTCAAGAACCCCTAGGGGTCCCCGTATCCCTGGTTGGGAACCACTGCTCTAGTTGATAGAAATTGGATTTGGGCTACAGGACAAAGTGTTTCAGTCTCAGAACTCGTCGTCGGAGCTGAGCAGGAGCGTCTTCTCGTTGTCCCCGCGGGTGCTGAGGTTGCTGTGGCTGCGGGACAGCGGCGGCCCCCCGCTCCGCTCCAGCGTGGACTGCTGGGTGTACTGCTGGTACGCCGGGGAGAAGTTATGGATGGCGTCCTGAACCATGTCGCCAGGGTTCATGGTCTCCTTCAGGCTGCTGGAGATGCTCTTCATCGGGGCGCAGCGACCTGGAGGAGGGTAGAGGGGGACATTAATGAAGAGACACAGAAGTGTATGGACAGGGAGGGAGATATGGAGGAGACAGATGAGTGAAAAGAATACATAGACTATGTTTCCGTCCATCTGTTCAGTGAATTATGCATCTTCAATATGTTGGCTTAAAATGAGGGCTGTCAACGTTAAAGGGGCCCTATTATGCTTTTGGGGGTTCTCCCTTTCATGTAGTGTGTTATATAGGTTTTTGTGCATGTATGTAAATGGTCTGCAAAGGCTAATATCCAAAGTTCCCTCCAGTATGAGAAAAATAAAGACCTTTTTGAACATTAAAGCATGGAAACATGTCAGAGTAGAGACACAAAATACAAATTTGAACCTGAAAATGAGCAGAATAGGTCCCTTTAATTGTGATTGAGTATGCACCATATACACTAGAGCACATTTCTCGTGTTGCAAATACAAATGCAATTTTTATTTTCCTGGGACAGAGAATTTGTGAGAACCCCTGAGTCTGCGTATAAAGACATGGACTAACATTGGCTTGAAATCACTGACAGCAAAACCAACATAAGGAAACTAAATACTGGCATAAACCCACTTCTAAAAGTACAAACTAAAATCATGCTGAACGGAAAATAAATGATAATGTAATGGACATTTAACCACAATCAAACACAATGAAATCCAACAAAAATAACTGAAATGGGGGTCTAAACGTACAGAAACACAGCTAACATCAGACCTACCGTACTGTCCGTAGATAGGAAATGAGCCTTTGAGTGCAGTGAGGAGACAAAGGAGACAAAGAGAGACAAGGAACAAGAGAAATCAAGAATTAAGGGAAAAGCAGAGAAAAAGAGAAAGATTTCAAATGTATAGAGCATCAAAGAAAGGAAACAAAGTAAAAAGGTTTTGGATACACAGAGTGAGGTCGGATCAGATCTGTAAGACTGCAGGAATATGTTCAGATTAGATTATAATACACACTTTTAAATAAACACTCTCTTTCTCATCGTCCACACAGTGAGGCTTTAGTTCCACTTGTTCTTACCATATGAGTCCAGTCTTTTGTCCATGTAGACCTTGTAGGTGAAGGCGTGGCGCAGAGCAACGGCAGCAAAGAACATCTCGATGCAGATGATGAAGTTTTGGTAACCCGCGGCGACCGTCCCCTCGCCCACGGAGAACTTGGCTGAGTTGATCTGAGGGATCGCTCCGCACTTCTCCAGGATGGCAAGCAGCATCCCTGCATCGTAGAAGAGAGACAGGAAGTGAGGAAATAGAGGAGAGACTCAAACACTTTGAAAGCTTTCTGAATAAAAAAAAAAACACACCTGAATCAGAAACAGGTTTACTACCAGGTAGGTTGATACGTACGAGGAATTTGACTTGATGTCATGGTGCATACATAAAAATAATAGTAAAATATAGTAAAATATAACAGTATTAACATAGAAATGGAATAAAAAGGAATGAAATATGGAATAAAAATCAGCAGTAATAAAAAAAACTGATATTGTTGTACATTGTGTGCATTGATGTGATGCATAGACACTATGAGGCAAGTAAGTTTGGCCTTGGGACCATTTTCTTCTGAGCCACTAGATGGCGGGCCAGAACATAATCCAAGGCCAGAGCCTCTGGCTAGACCTGCCCAAAGGGAGGCTCCTCTCTAGCCCCATTTCAGTCCCATGTTAAAAGCCAGGGCTATTATCTGGTTTTTAACAGACTTATCTTTTAAATGGCTTCTCGTTTTGCGCCGTCCCGTTCAAATGAAATCGCCTTCAATCACTTTTCCATGCTCGCACCAGGGCCGGGGGGAGGGGTCACAAGGCTCTCATCTTGTGCTGCATTCCCTTGCACTCGGACATTAGGGATTTTCTCTCATAAATGTCCGATGAGCCAAAACGTTTCTTTCAAAACAAAGCTGCCAGCTGGGGTGGCAGCATATGCACCGCCACCCATCGCCCTCCAGGATCAAGCTGCTTCTCCAATTTTGTTGTCAATGTTTTGATATCCTAAGTAAACATTACGTTTGAATGATTTAGTGAGCTGGTGTTATTTTTTACAAACCACACACCGCATGTTGGCTAGCCTATCAGCACCACGCGCTGTCCACCTACTTATTGATCCACTATCAGCGTCAGTGCACCCCGCTGCCAGATTGTGCCTGTGCTTTGTGTCATTCACTCTCAACATGGATAAAGGACCATAAGCATTATTCAGGTGTAGGTAGATTCTCTATTCGGACATTATAGCCTATATGTGCGACTGTCGGTCCGATATTGTAAAAAAAATAAAAATCTCAAAATAATTTTCCAGGCCAAATATTATTGCTGGCGGGCCACCAATGGCCCGTGGGCCGCCTGTTGCCGACCCATGCACTATGAGGTGGCTGAGGTAAAGTGTCACCTATTACTAATTGTGAAAATGGTGGCTAATTAACAAGTTCAGAAACTGGTGCTCTTACCCTGCCAGAAGGAGAGGAAGATGACGGATTTGACCATGAAGAACTTGAGCACAGGGTTGTAGGGGACGAGCAGCTCGCGAGTGGCGAAGTAGAAGAGGAAGAGAGCGTAGAGCGACAGGCTGACGGAGATGTTGTAGACGATGGTCACGTACAGGTAGCCACTAGCAACGCTGGAGGAGAGACATTAAGGGATGGGATTTAGAACACATGGAAAAAGTCTAAGTGAGGAAAAGAAACTAGAACCATTTAAATGAAACATCTAAGAGGGTCAAATGGATTTACGATTAGCTTAAAACAGGGGTGTCAAACTCAATTTCATCGCGGGCCACATTCGCATAAAGGTTGCACTCAAAGGGCCGGTTGTAACTATATAAATATATAATATATGTATCAAATAATGTATTATATTACATTATTGCCTCTGAATTGGATTATTATCGGATAGGATAATAACTTAGTAATTAACTACGTCTGAAAGCAGAAGTCCACGGCAAATAATTGCAAGTCTCTTCAGTGCGCATGTCACAAAACGAGATGCATTGTGGGACATGTAGTTTATGGGCAACGTGCTTCTGTAAAGTGGCATGTAACCGTATAATAAACATATTATATTCTTTGCAAGCTCTTGCGGGGCCAAATAAAATGAAGTCGCGGGCCGGATTTGGCCCCCGGGCCTTGAGTTTGAGACCCCTGGCTTAAAACCTACACATGACAAGCTTCTGTTGTTTCATTTGGGCCAATAGAGAAAGCCCTTTAGTGTCTTAGTACTGTAGAAGCTGCAATTATTCCTATTAAGGGATTATGATTTGAACATGAATTTGCAGATTGAATAACGTAAAAAGATAGAGATTTTGTAGTAAAGAGCATTATTCTTTATCTTTTTACAGGTCCTCATTTGGGATTTTAGATTAAAACCATAAGAACTTAATAACAGATTTACATTTGATTGGATTTAACTAATGCAGCTCATCTGTTATGGTTCAAAGACATCAGCTAAAGGTAAGTTAGACTTTTTTGATATCATTCCGAATGAAATTAAACCAATTTTCTGCAATGAAACGTCAGAGAAAAAGATTCATTAAATCCTACTTTCCATGTCTCATTTAAGACTTTTAAAAGCTTGATTTAAGACATTTAAATATCAATTAAAACCTTGCTTTTAGATTCATAAATTCAGTGCCTTTTTAAGACTTATTCTGGCTAAAGTTGCTCAGTGTCTGCAGTGCAGTGACACAATAACCCAGTGCTCAGAAAGGTGTCCTTGCTGTGACTGGCAGTGTGTGAGTCGTTGAGGAAACATACTTAAAGTCTCCATCCTTGTATTTCCCGAAGGCCTGGAGGAGGACAGTGACCATCGCCATGAGAGGTTTCACCACACAGAACTGCAGAGTCGCCTGAGAGAGAGAGAGAGGGAGAGGGAGAGAGAAGGAAAGAGGGGGGGGAGTTACTGTAACATGACAATCAAAAAAGAGAATACATATGTAAAAAGCAGCAACGCTAGGAAACATTCATGTTCAAATTCTTTGCAAATAGATTTTCATTCAGTATGGAAAGGAGAATTATGAATATAACATTTCCAGTAAAATGATAAAACATGTATGAACACTGGACACTTCCTCTATCCAAAGAGCACAACAGTAAGACAAAGAACTAAGGTTGAAAGTAAGATTTGTATTATTTTTGACTGATTGCAAATGTGATGGGATCTAGGATATTGGATGAAATTAACATTTTTGTGTCAATTTTCTCATTTCAATAATTTTCGGATTTATTGGGAGCACCTGTAACAAACGCCTTTTTAATTGTTTAATACGATTGGTAGGCTAGGACTTCTTTGCAGCACCACGATCCCTCATTTCTCAATGGTATCTTAAAAATATTGCACCTCCTGTGACTTAGATACGTGATATTGCGATTAAGATCAAATCCGTATTAGTTGTTCAGCCCTAGTTACAGACTCTTAAATAAGCAATATTAAACAATGTACACTTCATAAGCCAAGGTGGTGGTTTGTACCTGTTTGCAGAACCTGAGGAACCCAATGGAGTACGTCCTCCCCCACAGACAGCAGGTCCCATACACACAGCTGGACCTAGAGGGAGGATCACACGGGTCAAAACTATTATAATATATTCAAAATAATACTCAAAGACACCAAATATACAGGTTGAAATTGTCCAAAGAACAAAAACCCTTCAAATGTAAAACACACACTAGTCATGTATACTTTAAAGGTCCCCTATTATACTGTTTTTCATCAATATATTATAGGTCTCAGATATATACAGAACCTGTCTCTGAAGTGTTTGGCTCCAAACCTCAAACAGATCATTGCAGCATTACCCATAATCCCCTCTGTTTCAGCCCTGTTTCAAAAGTGCTGATTCTCTGTCTGTTACTTTAGATGAAAATAAGGAGCCCCTCCCCACACCCCTCTGAGAGAGAGATTTGGTTAAAAAGAACTCAATGGTGCTCTAGGAGGAGATTCAGGTGATAAGGTGGGGGGGGGGGGCTACCTTGGTTGGTGATTGGCTAATGGTTACACAAGCCAACACATCGTTATGACATCACAAAGTGGCCAAAATCTGATCAGCTCATTTTCAGACAGGTTTTTATAGAAATGGATCAGGAGAAAAAGAGAGAGAATCTTTTTTCCTGAAACTTTCAGGATCTCTTTACACAGAGGGGACACATGTTGATGTAGAAAAGACGTGAAGAAGAGGGGACACATGTTGATGTAGAAGAGACATGAAGAAGAGGGGACACGTGTTGATGTAGAGAAGACATGAAAAAGTGGGTTTTGCATAATAGGTGACCTTTAAAAGCAGCTTAAAAAAGTGAGTTTTAATCAAAATAATCTATGAAAAAGGGTAAAAATGAAAGCAAACAGAACTTACTCGATGGGTTTCCCTCTGATCTCGGCCATGATGGCGCTCTCTCCTCCCAGATACTCATAACACAGACTCAGGAAGTTGTAGATGACAAAGGCTGTGTCACACAAAGAAAAATACATTTTGAGTTTTGGAAAACAATGGATCATTTGAACAGCCACCAAAACATATTGACGCTCCACAGTGACGGCAGCGTTCGGTTAGTTATACAGCGCTGTCATCACTTGACGGTCATAATAACGGTTGTGTTTCGCTGATATTGTTCCAGAACTGCTGAGCTTGCCATTTCACGGCAGAGAGGTGAGTCAGCCCCAACAGCAGGCTCAGATATGATCAGGTCATGTTTTGAGGTGTAAGCATAATTGTAAAGGGACGCCAGTGAAAACGCTGCAAAGCAGTAATGAAAGCTTGTCGTCACACAAACAGTGTCACATCATACAAAAGGTTCAGATACAGATCGTACATGAGCGAACGGCAAACATTATGGGCTGTGTTATTCACCTGTGTTATGTGTTAGATAACGGCCCATAATAAGGATAAGGACCATACTCTAACGTGATGTTTTTGTGTTATTCTTCCCAGCATCAGCACCAGGTGTGTCTCTAATCCTTTATGCCTGATCCTGCTGTAAACACGTCTGTCATGGATGGAGAAAACAAATGCAATGACACCGACATACGTGCTCTTAACATTTCATTTGTAAGAAAGATAGTTTAATAAAGTATACAGTAACATCATACAGAGTTGCAGTGATGATGTATTTACTGGACATTGACTTTGAGACAATGGAGGGCTAAAATGCTAACTCATTTCGAGGTTAAGGACTCATTCCTGCACCACTCGTTTCTGCAACCACTGATCATTTAAGGAAATGTTGTTGAGGAGTAACATATCATTGAAATAACCCTGACTGGACTCCACAGTGATTTCAGTAATTGGCGTCCCTGAGAGAGCAGAGTGTTTGTTCACCAGGTGTTCTCAGGCTCATTTAAGGCTTTCCCACAGACACCAGCTCTGAGTCGAACAGTAAACTGTGATTTTAAGCACACAGGAGAAGAACCTGCCAGAACACCGACCAGAACACTGCTGCCTTTGTTACGTCGCACAACTACACACAGTATGGTTGCACTCTCAAAAGGTACTTTCACTGCCTTGGAGCTTGATTTCACCTTTCACAAAAGTACCATAACGGGCACTTTATGGGCACCCAGATGTGCAATCTTTTATAAAAGCTACATTGATTGAGTGCAAATGTGTAGCATTCAGTCTGAAGAAAATGTTATCCAAGGGGATATCTTTAAATTAGGAGCAGAGAGTTTAAAATAACAATTTGGACCGATTACAACGTTTTTTTGTTTAAATTGTTGTTATTAAAGGTGGGGTAGGTAATTCACTTCAGATACACTTTTTGTTATATTCCATGGAATGCTCTTAACATCAACAGCAATGAATATATTAAATGCTTTGACAATAAATACATTAAAAAATGTCATCTGTGGAAGCCGTAGTACTGTAAAAAGCACGACCAATCATCTGAGCCGGCCCGGCTAAAATAACTGGATGGCCTACCTGCCTGTCAGCCTTCCATCTGTGCACAAACTTATCTCGTGCCCTCATAGGTCATGTGCGCGTCCGTGTGTGTTGGAGGAGGGGCTCTGTAAGGAAGTCTGAAGGAAGGGGCAGATTTTTTCTGGTTGTGTACTTTCAAATTCTAGCGCACTCGAGCTGGTTTCTCCATTCTTACCTACCCTACCTTTAAGTACTCTTTTGAGCCCCGGAAACAAATGAATCTTTAGCACAAATTCCTCGTTGAAGAGTTCAAGTAATTTCTCACAATGAGAAACAGCTGATAGCAAATATCAGCTGTTTGTCATTGTGAGAAATGACTTGAACTCTTCAACTTCCTGGAGATCAACTAATCATTTCAGCACTACAAGCAAGTTCAGGCCCTAATCCTTATATATGTGATGATGGAATAATCAAATCTAATTGCCGTCAACAGACAGCATGTTATATAATGTATGCCTTACTAATTCTAGTTGCCTAATAGTGTGGTGAGATAAATGTGCTCACAAGTGAGATGCCATTTAAAGTCTTCTCAAGGATTTGCTCGTCTTCACACAGTTGCTAGGAAACCAGTTTCCCCTCCCCTGCAATCCCAAAGGGCCGCGGAGACATGAGGACAAAGATGGCGACCTTTGTAAATGAAGACACCACAAAGGCCATCTGCCGCAGGGGCATTTCACGGAGGATAAATCCTCGCACTCTCATTTCAGCTGGCAGTCAGAAGACACATAGCAACACAAAGAGCTCCATCACAGCGGGGGATAGTCTGCTGCTAGAATCAGGACATGTTAGCGTTTCTCAGTCCTCTCACCTTCGTAGCAGTCCCGGACTGTGTCAAAGTAAACGTAATACTCCTCATTGGTGAAGAAGAGAAGGCTGAGCCACGAGTCGAAGGCGTAGATGGGGACTATGAAGAGGATCCTCACTATGTGCCTCTGTTCATTTGGAGAGCTGTAGTAACGCAGGTGCATGTAGATCTGAACAAAGGAAGAAAACAAGTGGAATGTAACATCTTACTTTGTGATCATTATCTTTTCAGTGAAGAGTGTCAACCATTTACAAATACCTATTCGATGTCCATTGAATGACTTTGTGACAGTTGGTATTCATTGTTAGTGTATGTGTGTGAGGGGGGTGACTGAATGGTCCTCAGAAGTAAGACCATTTTATTGTCAGAAGTACAAAGACAATTTTATTTTTTTACACAGACTGTGAGGCAGCACTTTGGATTCTTTTAATCTACTACACCGGTTGCCGAACAACTATATAGAGTGTGTTTGAAACTGCATTTGCCACATTAATAAATAAGATTAAAAGAGATAATTCATCAGCTTCATCAACCGCTGCTCATCATGTGGTGTATGAAGCAGTTTGACTATAACTAGCTGGATATTGGAGAAGTGTTTGTCTAAAAGGTGGGTGTCGGGCTTGTTTAGGGTAATTGATCCTGAGCTTTCATCTGTCCTATTGAGAGAGGGGGGGGGGGGGCAGCTCCTTCACTCTCACACAATGTCCCACCTATCACCTTTCTGCTCCGTAAACACACACACACCTTTGGTAGAATAGCAAACAGTGGGTGACAATACACCGAGCGAGACAGTGCACTCCGCTCATAGGGCTTGTTGCTAGGTGACACCCCACACACACACACACACACACACACACACACACACACACACACACACACACACACACACACACACA